CCGATCGTCCTCTCCTCTATCTATTTTTCTTCCATCGTCAGGAATGTTAAATCGTTCATCAACTAAAAGAGTCTTTTTCACGGGATTTCGATTTTAATCCATTCGATCGATTTTTTGTTGTTGCCAAAGGATCGATCGAAAAGAGTAAGACCTTGATCGATGAGTTTTAAAAAGTGTTTTTTTTCATCCTGGCAAATCCGAAAGTGATCGATCGAGCGAACCATTAAAGCGGAGATTACGTTTGATTCTCGATGGGGAAAAGAAAAAAAAAAAGAAAAAAAACGAGTAAAAATTGTACGCAGCAAGGTAGATACGATACGGAAAATTCATTGGTAAACCGGTGGTAGATCTTGTTGAGATAGATATAACACGATCGAACTACGATACTACTCCTAGTTAATCATTTCCTTGGAGAATCATCGAATCGAATAAATTATTATTCGCTACGTTCTTTTCCTAAGGGAATATCAGTTTCTATGTAGGTAACACGTTGATATTCGTGTTTCCTGATAGATTCACAAATTTATAGAGACCCGTAACGTTCTTCAATTAAATGCTAAACGCAATGCAATCTATCATTACACAAGTATTTTCAATTATTCGATAGATAATTATTCAATAGGTATGTATATAGATGCATAATGCATTTTTATTTTCGGTAATTATTATCTTTTCAACGATAATTCAGCAGGATATAGCTCGAAGCATTTTAGTTGAAATTTATTTAATTAAAAATATAATAATTGACATCGTAAAATAAAAAAAAAAGACAAAAAGAGTCTACATTTTCGATCGATAATTTAACTAGAATACATTTCTCAAATTAATAGAGCTTTCAACGATAATGGAACCGTTTCGTGTTATACTTCCCGTCGTTTTTCTTGAAACAACGGATAAAGAAAAGAAAAGAGAAGAAGAAGAAAAAAAATGATAACTATTACCACATTCGCGATCAGAGCAAAACTTGGCGCAAAGTAGAACAAGAGCAAGCAAGCTTCTTTAATAGCAAAAAGGCAACTTAACGTGAGATATATGATATGGATTTACTCGAAGAAGAACGAATGTTCGATAAAGAAGCTGCTACTGCTGCTGTTGCTGCTGCTGCTATGCGTTTTATGTTGGAAACGAAAAGTTGAGAAGTCGAGGTTATATAGAAGAACTTTAGTTCGCATCGAGATATGCGAGAACAGATGCATATGCATGAAAGTGCATTTAAACGGAGGAAAAAATATTACAACCGGGAAGATATTTTTCACGAGTATAAAATATTATATATCCATTTCCTTCTAATATATTATTATTATTATACTTTGCAAATATTTTTGTTTTTCTTCCCTTCTTTTCTTCCTTTTTCTTTTTCCTCTTGGGAAAGGAAAAGAACAAAAATGAAAAAAGAAGAAGTTAATTCTTAAAAAATTAATGACCAGGAAGAAGCGAAAAGGCATATTCTTTAAAAAATAAATACAATTTTTAATTTACATTTATTTCAAAGAGTTATGCGAATTTAAATTTGCATTTTTTCAATACATATTACTCTAAATATATATCCGATGATAATCGTATATTCTGACAATTAAATAAGAGACACTTATTGCAAATGGAAGATAATATTAAATCGTAACACGTGTATTTCAATGTTTGATGATCTACGAAATGTTTTTTCCCCTTCGGTAGATGACCACCACTAGGAACACGGAAATGGTTGACCCGCTTGAAATTGCATTTATGTATCGACTTTCCCTACCTTCTATACTTTCCAAATAGTACGCAATCCATCCGGACGGTTATGGGAGCGCATATTTTCCCCCTTCCCCCTAACCCCCTTCATTCTATTTATTTCTCTTTTTTCTTTTTATGCACGTGAAAAAAAATAAAAATATGATTTCCGTTCTTTGTTCAGTTTCCCCACTCGTAGCAATAAAATTTATTCTGTTATCGGAAAGAAACGAGAGAGAAAGAGAAAGAGAGAGAGAACAGAAAAAAGAAAAGAGATTATAACACAAACCGGTACAATCTGTATTTTCCATTCTTTTTCCGTTTCTTCGAGTCATGCAAACTTTGCAAATCTCTCGCGTTAGGAAAATATAATAGAGAGCTAACGTATGAAATTCAAGAATGGGGAAAAGAAAAAGAGAGAGAAAAAAAAAAACAAGGAAGAAAAAAGAATTTTTTAATATAAATCGTTAAAATACGTATTTCCTTTCTTACGTAGAAAATTCCTTTATCGATTTTCTAAGTCACGAGAATGTGCTTTTTGTAACAGATCTCAATTGTGAAAGGGAAAACAGGTAAAGGGGAAATGTATGAAATTCTTCTTGCTTAACGAATTCCATTAAAGCACCAAGTCGTAAAGCGTATACATTTACGGATACACACGTATGTCAGATTTTACGTCTCTATAACTTTTCTCTCGTTCGTCCGAAAATTTGCGTAACTATCAAGAAACGCATTTCGATATGTCGAAAAATACGGAACGTCAGAGGATTGGAATTTATCTCGGGAATATTTGAAAATTCGTAATAACTCGCGAATCTTATTTTTTGGTTTCGAATAGATTTACGATTATCGGTCAGATATCGTATCGAGAGTGATTAGAAAATAAAATCAAAAGGAAAAATAAAAGTGTTGGAAGTTAGGTACAGGTTGAACAACGAAAGAAAACGAAATGTGGAAAACGGTCGTTAAATCGGATAGGAAAAAGCGCAATGTCACGGAAAGATATGTGATTTCTGTTCGTGGCAGCTTTGAAAACCGTTCATCACGGTATTAAACAATTTATCCACGGGAAACTGTCGCACAGCACGTCGCACCATACTTCGCGAGTACGAACCGTTGATTGAAATTTATTAGAAGTTACTTTTTTTTTTCTGTTTGTTCGTTCTTTATTTTTTTTTTGGTCGGTCGTTGCGATTTTTCGTTCGTTTTCAAGAAAAAACCGGACCCCCCCCCCACTCCCGTCGCTGTCAATTTCGAAATCCCATACGCGAGGCCATAATTCTTTTAGAAACAATTTTTGGTTTTGTTTTGTTTTGTCTTGTCCGAAGATTGCGCGCAAATTTTTGTTATACGTTGTGAATTAAAATTTAGCAAATTATTTTACGTTTAATATCGTATTTGATTTTTTTTTTCATTAATTATTATTAAAAACAAATCTCTCGTTAATTTTTTCGATATACTATTCGCTAAGTCATAACTTTTGACGAGAATTGGGGAAATTCGTTATTCAATGTAAATTTAATAATTGCTATTATATTTCGGATACTTTTTGTTAAACAATTTAAGCGCGAATTTGTTATTTTTTTTTTCGTTCGATTCTTTAAAACTCGAGACACATGAATTTTCTCCAACGAAGCAAGAAGGAACAATATTTCTTGTCACAATCACTCCTCCCCACGATTGCTTTCCTATCTTTCTTTTTATCTTTTTTTTTTGCCCCTTTCTTTTGTATCTTTTCGATTCGTTGTCCGTTCCCCATCGTTCTGTCGTATCAAATATTTGTCCGCAAGGGAACTAACCCAGTATCCAAGATTCGATGTGTCTCTTAACGTTCGTTTCATCTTTTTCTAGTTTTTGAAGGTTTGGATAAAAGTTACGACGAAAAAGAAGAAGAAGAAGAAGAAGAGGAAGAAGAAGAAGAAGAAGAAGAAAAAAAGATAAAAAGAGTAAGTCAATTTTCGTCAATCGAAGAGAAAGTATATTACATACTGAATACTATTCAATGACGGTATACGTCGTTCGGTAAATATATGCAAAAGATGTTCAGATAGATAAGAAAAAAAAGTTGGAAAAATATAGTAACTCTTGTCAAGTTTCCAACATCTTTTAGAAAGAAGGAACGGACGGAACGATCTATCAATTGGAATTCAGAACGCTCATCTATGAAGTTCATGGGGAACGTTTGGTAAGTACAAAATTTTATTGGGAAAAGTCGAAGGAAAAAATCGTTGAAAATATTTCCGAAGTTCTTTTCTTTTTTTTTTTTCTTTCTTTTAAAAGATAATATCGCGAAGAAAATATTTAATAGTATTATTAAAGGGCTACAGAATAAAAATAAACTATAGTTTAATAAAAAAAAAAAATATGAAAGCAGAAGCACACCGAAAGATATCGTCGTTGAATTTAGAATGATTTTAAGAATTAGTATGTCTCTCTCGTTTTTCGTCGAAAGTTTGAAGACACTGGCGATAGTTCGACCGAAGGAAAGAATTTGGAAACTTCTTAGAAAATAAAAGTCTCGATGATCCACCCCTTTGGAGAAGCTCGTTGATTTTTTAAAAAGTATCAGTATTTTCTAAAGGTGTCGAAGGATGATATAGTATTAAAAGAATCACGAGTTTTAGAAAGGGGAATGTTCGTTTGTCCAAACGATCGGTGATTGAACCATAAAAGGAAGGGGAGAGAAAACAAAAGACGATCAAAATAAAAATAAATAAAAAACGAAAGAAAAACCGAACGAACGTGTAAACGAATAACAGGTCTCTCAGGGTTCAATGCACCTAGTCGAATTTACGCTCTATCTGTCAACCAATCCTCGAATAAAAAACAAAATTCGCAATAGTGTGTGTTCAAGATAAACGTTTCAAGTCTTAAAAATTAAGAATCAAATGTAAAAATGTAAGATATTAATAATATAATTAGTAAGAGATATATAATATGATATAAGATAAAATAATATAACGTATTCGTAATTTATATTACGAATATTTGAATGAAATGTTTTCTATGTTAATTATGTTTACGTTATAACATTTTCAACGTTCATAGGGATTAAAGCACACAAACTCTCATTCGAACAATTTCTATTTAAAGTTCCTAGAATATATCTAATCAAAGTTATATAATTATAATATATCTATATATAAAGAGTTTGAAATATCTGTAAATGTATGCTTGAATTACTTTTTAATCAGAGATAGCAACGGAAGTTAATTTTTGATTTCTCTTCTCTTTACAATTTTAAAAACGATTGGAACGAATAAAGATTTATCAAGAAGACTTACGGAATTGATGTAATTAATAAGAGACAATCCACCATCCCAGGGATGTTCGAGCTCGCAGGAAATATTGGCAGGCCTCAAAGCGTGCGATTGTTCAAGAGTCCTTAAACCCACTGCGAAAACTTGTACACTGTCGTACATTAAAGCTGGTTCCGCCTGAAATAATAAAAACAACTTAATCGATGTACAATATTATCCCGGATAAAACGTAATATTGTTTATTTATTTTTATTTTCAATGGAAACCAATTCGAAAAATGATTGGGAAAACAAACTAGTGTCGATAATTTGTGTGTGTGTTTTCGACAATTATTCCTTTTCATCGAAACGTCGAATGTCGAGTATAACGGAAGTTTTAATTAGTAACTTTTCCCAAAAACAAATCGAAAATAACTATAAATTTTGAAATTTTTCCACATGGAAAATAGTTCGCATTACTTTATACAACGGCGGCATTCCTTCTCTCATTTCAACCTTTCTCACTTTGGCGTTTCATTGTGCGAATGTCCAACCCTGTTTTCTCTTGATTTTCATGCAACCGCTACAGAACGATGAGCAAAAGAAGAAAGTAGAAAAATATGAAAGGCTATAAAAAGCAATGTCGGTAGTCAGGGTCTGCATGCAAAAGTACATTACATTCAACGTTGTATCGTGTTCTGTTTCGGTTGCATCTGCTTGTGGTACCGGCTGGGCACTTTGCTTTTATGTTCTCGCAGTATTCGAGTTCTCGATTTGATCTTTCTACACAATAGCAAAGTACATATTTTTTTTTCCCCACTTTTTACATTTATTCTTTATCATGTGAATTTGTTCAACTTAAGAATTACTATCTATAATTAAATAACATTGATAAAGAAGAAGATGAAAAAGGGGAGGGGAAGGGTGGGTATGAAAAGAAAACTTTTAAACATCAACAATCAAATGCTATTGAAATTTAAACTTAAGTAAATTTATGCATACATTTCCAACCGATTTCAACACTTCTGACAATTTAACTATCTTTGTCTCAAATTTCTCTACCTGAGAGAAATTCAATCTATCTTGATAAGAGAACGAAGCAATTAATTTTGCATACTCGTTACTTCCATCATTGTGTTGACAAGTTTTAGTATTAACCGTACAGGTTATACGATATTCCGTTATTACAACTGGACAAAATTATGAATAATGATTGTTAATGTATTCAAATGTAATGTTATTACGTATTAGTTGAAGCAATTACGATGAATAAATGAAAATAAAAATTAAAACAAATCAAATCAAATCAAATCAAATCAAATAGAATCGTATCAAATCAAATCAAATCAGATCAAATCAAATCAAACGAAATGAAAACGGGTGCAGTCATCGATCTACCTTTGATCGTATCGAATATTGTAATGCGATAATTGAGTGCCCACGAATAATATCGATCCGAACTTTACCTGATTATATTCGAAGTCTGTTATTGACAGATATTTTCGAGATGATATACCCACCGCCCGCCCCCCACCTCATGTTAGTCGTCGACGTGACATTGGCAGGAGCTTATTTTTATTAAAAAAAACGAAAAGCTTGACACGTGATTACAAGTCGCGAGACTTCGTGTTACTCATCATATTCGTTAAATGAATTACTTTCGACAACGTAGAAAGTACACAATGGAGACAAGTTGAAAAAGATGTTTCCCTCAGTTTGTCTTTCGCAAATACATCTCTAGCGTTCGTGATTGTCTCGTAGTGATAATGTAAAATGTGCTAGATTCCCCTGAGAGTCTGTGTACATATATGCAATTGTATTTTTCTGAAAAAAAAATAAAGGAATATAAAACTAATCCGAGTTGGTATCTCTTTCATTGTTTCATTTTTGTATTATTTTTATATTATTTTTATATTATTCATTAATTAAAACAACAAAATTTTCTTTATGATTAAATCATAATTCACATTTACATGATGAGCATACGTAACTCAAAACCAAACAAAAATTCATTGGAATGGTGTTATGGTAATAGAATCTTTATATATTTAAAATAAATAGAAATTAAAAAATATACAAAATATTATTTAAAATATTACAAAAATTAAGATAGAATTGCTTGTATGTATATGATTATGTACAGACCTTTGATGAAGTTACAAAATAATACAAAAGCATTATCAGGAATCTCTTAACTTTCCAAAAGTTATGATAGTTGCTGGTCGTGGTACGTGTATGCTATACCAAGTTAATTAAAGCGTGCTTCTAATTGGACCAAGTTTACTGTAACAGGACAAAGTTTCAGCTTTTGCGTGTCTCTCACGATCGATTCACGCGAACTGAACAAGTATAGAGAGAAAAAGAGATAGAAAGAGAAAGAGAGAGAGAGAGAGAGAGAGACATTTTCCTTTCCGATTGTTGCGTGCAATGAGTAACAATGAATTTAACTGAAACTTTGTTAAAGTTAAATACATACTAACTACGTTTGATAGATAAGTATATACAATATTCTTCTTCATCCGGCAAGTCAAAGATTCTCTTACAGAACTTCGAATTCGCATAAAATGTAAAGTATGGCATTCCATGACAAATGAAATAAGTTTCATCATAGTCGAATGAGTGATTTTCGTTAACGGGTCATTGAAACATAACTCGACGTTTAGATAAATGTGTAACTTTGTTGAAGAACTTTAAACAAAAGATCTCTAGAATCGGTACGATCAAGGACGAGCTTAATAATAGCAATTAATTCGTCCTGGAGGGTTGGCACGGTGTTCGGTAAATTGGACAACTGGTCTATACACACCAGGAAGAATCGATGTACACGAGTTCCGAGTATCCCGTTAATTGCCTTACGCTTGGTTTAGTTGGGGGAATACGCGTCGAATGGATAGATGGTTAGAGAAAGACAGAAAGATGGGGAGAGGGTGGGTGGGAGGAAAGTACGAGGTGAGAGGGAAAGGGGAAGATTTAAGAGAGACGGTCGTATTCCTACCACCTCCTCCTTTTACCACAGCAAATTTTGCGAGAACAAATAATAGGAAGAACGGTTTAAAGTAATTGTAACTTTATGATATATTATCGAATATTTTGTATCTTTTTATTATTATTATTATTTTTTTTCTCTTTTTTTTGTTTCTTTCTAATATGAGTTCGTCAACCTTTACTCCTTTATTATACTTTTTTCTCGATATATATGGTGATTCTTGTAAGTGGGACATGCCACTGTTATTTATTTATAGAATAATAACGATAGAAAATATCAAATATCATGTAAAGTATTGACAATATTGATGATATTGGATTAGTACCTTTATACGTAGAATAAAAAAAAAAAAGGAAAAAGTTGAATTGTGCATTAGAGAACAAAGTGCAATTGCATTTGATAATTGTGTTGTAATATTTTTCCCCTCTATCATTTTGTTTTTATTTTTATTTAATAAAGAACAGTAGCCTGTTTCAGTTCCAAGAATTATCCTTTATACTTGTATACACATATGTATATAAATATATATGTTACTTCACGTAAGAGAAGTTTATTAAAAGTGACGGTTTTTACAGGAACCAGTCCCGTTGTCCATCTGGATTGACTCGATGGTAAGTAATTAGCATTTAAAACGAAATGTAAATGATTCCGGCTAACTCTGTAATACAGATTTTCTCTTTTTCAAACTTATTTCTCACCTTTCTGCTTTGCCATTCTTTACGTCAGAATAAAAAACAGTATTTATTATACGCATTAATATTTTCTTATACAATACATTCTTTACGTTCTCATGGTATTATTTTTAAAGATTTTTAAAACAATATGCAAAAAAGATTTCTTAACACGATATAACCCACTGTGTTTGATTTAAATCGAAAGACAAATATCGACGTACAAAAAATAAAACTTTTTTTACTACTCGTCGATGACGAAAAAAAAAGAAGAAAAAGAACTTTGTTCGAGAACGTTTTATCTTATCGACTTGGTAAAGGAAGATAGGGTAAACCGAAAGAGTTAGAGCTATCGTTTAAATTTTTAAAGTCCACTCCTGCCCTATCGAAATCTCGAGCATACTTTGGTTAAATTATTGACGGTACCGAGTGGGTACTTCCAAGTCAGATTCAGAATCTGCACGTGTCCTTACTAAATAATTCTTACAATTCTATTGACTTAAAACGACGACATTTTTCATCCCAACACCCCCCCTGACCCCTCTCCCAAACTCTTCCCCCTCAACTCGATCAAATATTTCTTATAAGAAAAACACAAAAGCACATGGTAAAGAAAATATGCGCGAAAAGAAATCTTTCGAAAGTGAAAATGAAAGTAAAAGGGAAACGGGGGGGAAAAGAAAGTCAAATAAAAAAAAAAATAAAACGAGCGGGGAGGATTCGGATATCGGTGAAACCATAATTGATTTATACGAGTCGAAAAGTAAGTGTGCGAGCACATGTGTGTGCATGTGTGTGTATTTGAGGGTGAAGTTTTCGCGTAGAGTTTTCTCAACGTTCAGGAAGCGACTTTAGTCAGGCAAAAGCAACCCGTCTCTGGGACGCCTATCGCCACGGACAAATAAAATAATAAAACCGTTTGGTAGGAAGAGGAGGACGAGATAGTCTGATTTATGGCGCCAACAGCCAAAGGTTATCCACCATGGCGCAGGGAATTCGGTGATTCATTGGTCGCTCGGATTGGATAGGGATGCCTGCTGCTTGCTTGCTTCCTTGCTTCCTTGCTTGCTTGCTTGCTTGCTTGCTTGCCTGCCTGCTGGAACGAATTCATTTAAAGATCATAGAGAGTTCACTTCACTTCTCTTCAGTTCACTTCTGTTCTGAAAATGGGAAACGTATTCACTCGTCAAAGATTTCTCTTTCCCTATTTCTTTCGTCGTAATTAAAACACGATTATTAAATTCTATCCTATTCTTTGGCCCCCACATTTTTCGGAATGTTTTAATTATTTTTCTTTTGAAAAAAGAAAAAAAGAAGAAAAATATGATTCGATATCAAAAAGATAATTATTGGTTGTTCCATAAGAGTGTAATAGATACAAGGTTGCAATAGACATTTTTGTGATATTTCTCATACGTTCATATTTTATTTCCTTCTATTATGATTTTTTCCTTTTTTCTTTTTTAAGATTAAAGATCGCAGTAGTCCTTCTCTTAATCGTCCACATTTCTTTTCAAGATTCGCACAAAAACAGGATAAGTTACGCTTATCTAGCAAACGCATCTCTCTAAAGATGCCTCTTTATCCCTTATACTTTCCCTTTCCTTCTTACTGTATATATATATATACATACATATAAATTTTTTGTTTTCTTTACTTTCTTTTTACTCCCCTTTCTTTCAACTTTGCTTTCTTTAGTTTCCTCGGTAATGTAACGACGTTGATTGCGAGTGAACTTCTTGCTAGACGCTTTGGTATCGTTAAGTTAAAGCGGTCGCTTAGCTTGTTTCTTTATATACATATATACACATACACAACACATACAGGACTAAACGAAAGAAGAAAAAGTCAGTGCTTGATGGAACTTAGAAGAAGTACCTAAGTGGTGTGCGTAAAACGGCCATGGGGGAATGCGTTTCCTGACTAAAACTGTGATTTCGTATCGTACTCGAAGGAGTCCTTCTCGTAAAAGGACAAACTTCGTCTACTTTCTCATTCACCATCATATCGGTTTTTTATTTCGAAGATAAAGAATCCCCCGTTAGTCTACGTAATTTATCTTTTCAAGTTTTACCTATTCGTAACTATCGAAAATAATAACATTACTTTTTCCCTTCCTTTCTATCATATTATATTTGACTTATTGTTGTTAATGCATAAAATAATCTCGCGTTTTAAAAGTAGAATAACAAAAGAAAAATGCGAAGGCAAATTTTTCACGAGTCTACCGACATGAAATATGAACAATTGTAACGTTCGCTTTAGCGAGTAAAAAATGAATAATTTAAAACAATTTTTATTTGTTTGATTAATTTTTAATTTTAAACGCGTTTTCATATGTAAGAATGCAATGTAAGGATAAGAAGTGTAATATATAATATGGATGGAAAACTTTGTTATTCTTAGTACCTTTCATACTTTTATCAGTTTTTTTTTTCAAAAGAAAAATATACAATCCAGTTATATTTTCTTCTTTTCTTCTTTTTTTTCCCCTCTCTCTATATCTCTCTTTCTCTTGTCCTTTCCCTGCTTCATATCTTTACTTTCTTTCTACATTTCTACTCTTTCACATTTTCTCCTTTTTTTTTTTTGTTTTTCTCTTTTTTATTACAAAAACATTTTGTTATTCCGTACGCGCCGCTTTGTTCCTATTATTCTTCGTAAACACATTTTCTATCCTAAAGCAAACTTTGTACGTCGTTTCTCTTCCCCCCCCCCCCCGTCCCATCCCGATCCCTCCCCGATGCCCTACGTCGTAGCATTGTAAACTTTTCACTTCGTTTTAGATCATCAAGCTCGCGTAAAATGTTAAGACAACGATTACCTACCTCGCTAGTTGTGTTGCGAGGTAATAAACATAACGGAAGTACATTTTTTTTATACTACACTTTTTTAAGTTTCATAATTTATTATAACTCTTCTTGTTTAGACTTAACTGTGACGCATATGCGATTAAATGTATTTCAATTTTTTTTATCTTTTCACATTTATTTTAATTAGCATTAATTTAAAACAAATTCGCAGATGACAAGTAGTAATAACTGTTTTTGCAATAATTAATAATAATTTTGTGTTATATTATAAAAATAAAAGGTTTGCTGCTTTTCGTCGAGAATTATTCTTTTCGATTAATAATAATAATGTTCCTTTACAAAGTAATTTACGATAATGGACTCTTAACTCAAGTTCATATTAATTCGATTTGTTTTCCGCAAACTCGACGATTTGTACCGAAATCGATAAAAAAAAAATGTCAATTGTAATTTCATTCTCTTTCTCTCTCCTCTCTCTGTTTTGCTTTCCTACGTAAAAACGACTAGAATCGTAATAAAGTTAGTTTACTTGTTAATAATTAATCGAATATTATATTTACATAAGAGTATACGAGAAATAAATTATCCTCGTGATTATTCTTGTTAATGTTTAAACACGATAAAATATATATTTGTAATATATTATAATATAATGAAATATTCGATACGATACGATAATAATTTCGAATTACAAAAATTACTTATATCGTGCTTTTCAAAAAAAAAAAAAAAAGAAAGCTACTGATCCAAACGTCGATTGAATGTTAACCGATTTTATGAAGGTAAAAAGATGATGATAGTTTGTAACGATCGAGGATTTTCGTAAAATGAATGACTAGATATTCTCCGAATACTATTCGGCTTCTACGGATATGAAATGGGAGCATGGCCAAACTAAAAGAGAAAGAGAAAGAGAAAGAGAGAGAGAGTCTTCCTTTTAGCTCGAACTAAACCCGATTTATGCAATTACGTGCGATGAATTTTTCTCGACAAGAACAGGGGGAAAGGATCCGTAATATGAACACGCAGGACCAAAGTATCCTTACGTAATATTTGTTAATATATAGGAAGAAAACCGGCCTTGTGACCGTTCCAAAAAAGAAACGAGTGAATAAATAAAAAAAAAAAAAAGAAAAAGAATAAGAAGAAAAGCGACAAAATTTCGACCGTATAATCTACTCATCGCGCGTGAATCATAATATATCTGTACAAGCTTCTCATCCAATTTCTATGCAGATTAGAACGTTTTTCTAAAGAAAAAACTATCCTCCCAAAAAATTGTCCAACCTTATACCACCATCTACGATCTTATAATCGCGTAACTATGAGAAAGAAAGCTATAACATTGACGTATATATTATAATAATAATAATAATATATATCTTCCTATACCTGATCTCTTACCTAGATTGGAAGTAAAACGAGAATTTGATTAGTCGACAAAATATTTCAAATTAATAGATATATTTTTCTTTTTCTTCTTAAGCCACGTTACAAGATGAAGAGGAAGAAGAAGAAAAAGAAATATTGAACAAACATTTCGTTGAAAATGTACAACTTCAATATTGATTAATATTTTCGAAGCGTTATACCAGCAGATTTTGAAAAATATTTTTTAATCGCGACGTAGGAAACAAAATTGTTACTTTTAAGAACAAAAAGATCAAGCGTTAAGTTAAACCATAATTTATCCTTTTTCAAGTAAAATCCCCGTGACGAGGGAATAATAAACGTCGTTTAAAAAAGCTCGAAAGACTCGATTGTCGTAAAAAACATTTCGTATAATTCTAATAACACGATATTATTCGAGAAACGTTGTTGGTCATTGCTATAAACGTGTCGTCGTGTTACACTCATTGTCGTCGTCGCTTCGAGCAACTTTTATTATTATTATTATAATTATTATTATTATTTTTCACGCTGTGCAATTTCATTTTTCCATTATATTCTTTTTGTTCAGAGAGGGAGAGAGAAAGAGACCCAATAAAGTTATCCGCGCGTATAACGTTAGCGCGAATAAAACGATATGCTATAATATCAAATGAAACTATATACTTATTGTTAGTTATTTGTTGAAGAATAAATTGAATTTCTTTTTCTTCTTCTTCTTCTTCGAGTTAGTCATTTATTATTTTTGAAAATGTTCATGCCAATTTGTACAATCAGTGATACATGCACTAAAACTGTGTACAACAAATGTTCCAATTAAATCATATCATTGAAATTTGCATTTTTCTTCCGGCGAAATAAAAATCTAGGAATTCGAGCGATTTTCTTTTTCCGATGGTAAAACACATTCGGAAAATACGATACTCTCGTGAACGTGTTAAATAAATATATATATATATATATATATATATATATATATGTACTTTTTTTTTATCTTGTGAAATAGATCGTGAAAATATTCTAGATTTTATATAAAAGCAAGCGACGATATCTACGTGAGAGATAAGCAATCGTATACTCACCTGAATAACTTTCGACTTATTCAGAATCGTATTTCCGGCTGGCTGATAACGTTCCATATCCCTGAGGATGCCTCGCACCCCCACGTCATCGGCGTCGACCAAACGGAAGGCAGTGATATTGACGAAATTGTACTTGAAATCTTCGAGGTCGAAAGTCTCGATATCCTTTACGCCACGTGGAAAAGAAGTTGCACGAGAAAAAGAAATAAGAAAAACGGGACTTAAATAAAAAAAATCCCCCAAAAAAAAAACCTTCTTCTTACATGACTTTTGCATTATCCACCCCCTATCCCCCCGTCCACCTACCCTTCGTCAAAGTACTTTTAAGTTAATATTACTTACGAAAGTCGTAAAGAGGTAGTGATACTTGTAATCGTTCATCTGGAGCTGTAATATCTGTAAAAATTGCGAATAAATGATAAGTTTTAAAAATGTAAAAGAGAGAGAGAGAGAGAGAGAGAGAGAGAGAGAGAATGTAAGCCGTTTAAATCGACAAATGTTTTTTCCCTTTTACCTTTCGTAAAAAGTGATGCATGTGATCCGGTCTCGTATCCACGATGAGATTTCGAATTTCCTTGCTTTTCATCTCGGACAAGACTTGACTGTAAGAGTCTGGGTCGGCTTGTCTGAGATGAACTTCCATCTCGCAAGATTTGGGCGATCTCACGAGTTCACGTAACTTCACCAATCCTGAAACACGTTTGAACTTTTACTTGATTGATCGATTTTTATTTTTTATTTTTTTCTCTTCTCGTCAAATTGTACTTTTTAAGATAATTTTTTTCTTTTTTTTTTTTTTTTTTCAAATCTTTCGCGAACGATTGAGATAAACTCGTTGAACATTCGAAAGAGTACGCGAATTTTGTGGTTTTCTCTCCGAACGAATAAAATCACCCTTAAAGAAAAGAAAAAAAAAGATAGTTTACGAATCACCAGAAGTAATAATTTAGTCTACGGGTTCAGAGGTGTGTAACAGAAACGAACAATGAGATTTCACCGTATACGGATCGGTTGGGCGTGTATGAAAGCGTGATGAACTTTGAATAGATAAAATATTAAAGTTTCGAGGTCTATTACGGTTGAGAGAAAGAGAAAGGGGTTAAAAATTTATGCATAAACTTGTACCATATCAAAACCTTGCACCACATTCACAATGAAACGAAATATTTAACGCGTGTCATTTTACGGGGACAATCTTGAAGCTTACTTTCTCTTTCTCGTGCCATTTTAAATAATAGAGATATGCTAAGGGGGTAAATACAAAAGAAAAAAAAAAGGAAAAAAACAAGAAAAAAGAGAGAATGAATGAGACAAGAAAGAAGTGTGCGCTCGTGTGTGTATGTATATTTGGTGTAGTAGTTCAATAATTGGTCGTCTATTATTAGCTCGTTCGGTTTAATGGGGACCGAAACCCGTGAATCGCGCTACCCGATGAAATCAATACTTTGCAGTGCCTGAGTAATCAAGGTATCATCTCGACTTGTGGGTCTTCCCCTAGGTTCGAGTTCGTTCGCATCCAAGTTCCTGCGAGAGTTTCGCCACTCACTCTCACTCCTCTTTCTCTCTCCCACACTCACTCTCTCTTACAAGTCTCCCTAGTCGTTTCCAGGAAGGAAGTAGATCCAGGATAACTCAACTCGTCGCAAGTCTTACTTTCATCTCCTTCCTATTTCCTTATTCTCTATCTCTCTCTTTCTATTTTCAACCCTCGCGTTTCTACTTACTCGACAACCCCACTCCACCCCATCCCACCTCCTACTTTCCCCTCGCAAACATCGAAGGATCGCACGACATCGAATACGATCTCTTCCGCTTCTCCCGGTGGACAAGAACATCCGAAGTCAAGCTAATCTTTCAAGGTAAACGTCGACGGCGCAAACGAAACCCTGATGGATCTTCTAAATCCCCGTTCGAAAGCGTATTACGTTATCTCTACGTCTAACGTCTCTATTTCCCTCTCTTTCTCTCTTTCTCTCTCGTAGTTGTATCCACATATCGAAATCTACGAAACTACTAAGCCCACAACCACCCACTTCCTACCTATTCCACTCCCCCCAAAAAAACCCTTTCTATCCAACCAACAACTCTTCAATATATTATATATAAATATTTCTCTTTCTCTTTTACTTTTTCTTTTCCTTCAGATGAATAAACATCGCGTCTATCAATCTTTTTAAATAAACTCATCACGCGCACGTAGACGCGATCGTTTTTTATTCTTGATAAAGTGGTGAGGGGAGAAGAAGAAAGAGGAAGAGGGAGGGAGGGAGGGAGGGTGGAGAAATAATAAGCCAGTTTGTTAGCGTAATAATTAATTACCAAATTAAAGTTGGAATATTTTTGTTCACGTCGTGAAATACTTTTTCTACATAAGTCTCCATCCCTTTCTTTTTTTTCTTTTTTTTTGTTCTTCTTGCGGTGTACTGTACAAAATATAAGTAAATTCATCATCCTGCTCTAACTTTAGACATTCGTGTATTACTCTTCCCCTTTTTCTTTTCTTTTCTTTCTCTTTCTTTCTTTCTTGTTCTATTTTAAACGAATAACTTTTTCGGGATTACTTCGTTAACGCGCACGAACGAGTTTTATCCGTTATAGCTCATAACAGAGGAATATATTGTACGTCTATGATAATTCTAATTATCTGTCATCATTCGAGAGAAAAAGTGACTTTAACAAATGACCGAGGATGACAAACAAAAAAGAAAAAAGAAAAAAAATCCTCGAGCACGTTGTGAAACGTACAAAATTTGGATTACAAATTTACAACATAAATATTAAAATGAAAGGAATATCAAATTTATTTGAAAAGTGGATAACAATGTAGGATACCGTAAATGGAATGTCTGTGTGTGTGAGTGGTATGTGTTTTTAATAAAATAAGTAAAATTTAATTTGTGTTACAATTAATAATATAGAAATCATTCAGTTGTTAATTTTCCAAACTTTCTGTCGTAATCAATTTAATTAAAATCTTTTTCGAATGTGGATCCTTTAAAGGTAACACAAAATGAAGATCCAAATAAATCTTACATCGGTGACATCGAATCTACTCGTTTTCGGGTTTTCGAACATGAGTAAGAGGAAATCGTATGCAGAGAAAAGAAACGAAAGGAAAAAACGAAAAAAGGGAAAAAGGGACTAACCGTCGTAGCCAGAAGCGACAGCTGGTCCTTCGAAAAATATAATTTCTCTAGGGAGATGCTTCGAGAATGTGCCTGTGGCTTTCGAGAAAGTGGAGAATTATTATATATCGGTTTTTATTCCTTCTAATGACACCCACTTACGATATATATCTTCTTCTAAACGAAATATTCTCACTGTCTTATGAAAAAATAAAATATAAGGAAGAGAGAGAGAGAGAACAAAATTGTATTGTAGAAAAAAAAAAAAAGAAGAAAAATCTCAGATGGATGAAAGAATAGAATTATGGATGAGTGGTAATAAAAGAAGGAAAATCAATATAATATAGTATACATTATATAAAATATTAAAAAGTACAATTAGACTAACTGCAAAAAAGGTAATAGAAAAATAAAATAAAAAAAAATAAGAAAAAGGTAAAGAAAATGTTATCCACTATTTTTCTTTTATCGTATATCGGAAAATGATTTGAAATAATAGAAAAGCTCTTGGATTTAAATATCGATAAAAGTTAAGTTGAAAAATAATCAGAGAGTTTGGATAGTTTCTCGATCGATTAATCGTACCAAAGAATCATTTGGTACTGAATTCCAAATTTTTTTTATTTCTTTGGAATATACATTGAGAGAAAGAGAAAGAGAAAGAGAGAAAGAGAGAAATAGTGCCAAGAAACGAGTAACCGGGAGTCATTTGTAATTTTTTACTTCTCCCGAGGAGTGTCTTGCATTCTCTATCTTTCGTAGAAAACTGTGATAAGAATTCACATTTACCGGTCTTTCGTGTCTCTCGGTGTGTTTCGCTATTTCAAGTTGAAAGAAGCGAGAAAAAGGGTGAGCTGCTTTTCAGAAAGATTTATAGACATTCGTTGTAAAAGAGAAGGTAAAGAGAAAGAGAAAGAGAGAGAGAGAGAAAGATATAGAGTCTTTTTCGCAAGAACGAAATATAAAAATTCTCAAAAACTTAGCGATTCTTCCTTTTTCAGTCAGGAATCCTACTTTTTTTGAAATCTTGTCTTCCCTTCATTTACCTTCATTCTTTTACTACTTCTTATTTTCTTCCTCTTTATTTAACTTTGTATTTTTGTTACTCCTTGTTGCTATCAAACAAGTTCGAATTAACGTTACGAAGTGAATCTACTTCTTCATCTTCTTCCTCTTCTTCCTCTTCTTCTTCTTACTTGGTAAGATCGTGTTAGAATTTGGAAAAAGTCTACAAAGTTAGACGTTCGCAGGAACGAAATATCGAGATACGAAGCCGCGTGTTCGGCGTGACGATTCGTTTTCTCGTCCGTGACTCCATTGTCCTGGATGTTTCTCAAGGAACATGGGGTTGAAGAAGGAAGAAGAAGAGAAAGAAGAAGAAGAAGAAGGGAAAACGGGAGAAAAGGCCGACAGGAGGAAAATGAAGGAAGGCGGTATAGAATGTAAGAGGTTGAAGGAAAAGGGCAAGCTTATTCGGGAGAATAAGAGTCTTGGAAGTTCCACAATGGTTGGTGATGGCCGTATTCGAAGGCTCATTGCCGATTCTTAGGGCGTAGGGACACAGAATCAGGTTGGCAAGGGTACGAACGAACCAGTCTTCGAAGAAGCGGTTACGCGGAATATCCTTTTTTCTTTTTTTTTTTCTGCTTTTCTACGATAAAGAAGGATACCCAGCCAGGGTGTATACTTGAAGCTTTAAGCTTTTAAGCTACGTTTCGATTCGGTTCAATCCAAGGAAGTAAATGTCTGTCATGGATATTAGCATTTTTGTTTTTTTTTCTCCATTTAAAACTAATTGTCATTCGAAAGAAGGATTAAAATAAAAACTTGGAAAACGAAGGCAACGAAATTGATCGTCGAACGAATTTCAAATAGAGAGAGAGAGAGAGAGAGAGAGAGAGAAAGTGAGTGTAAGTGGCAACAAAATTAATAAAAACTCTCGTTACATTGGATGAATTTTAGAATTCTTTTTTTTAGAGGTGTTCTCGGGTATCGTAAAAAATATATATATGTTATAAAGAGATGCCTTCGAATCCCCCTTTTCAGTAGGGTGCGAATAATCGAGGTTGGCACGGGGATTTCGAGGGTTAAAACTTCGAGAGGAAGAAAAAGAAAATAGGGATCTCTTCTTTGAAGGGGTAACTATATTTGTCGATCTTCTTCTCGATTTTGATGGAAGATACTGAATTATTTTTATCATAAAAAAAAGGTTACGCGGTTTAAATTAACGTTGAAATAAATGATGAAGAACTTTTATATCACGTTTGGTATTTTACATTTAATTCACAATCTTTTCGAATATTCGAACTACGTTATATTGGTTTGCTTTCTTGCTTTTTCTTTTTCTTTTTCTTTTTTACGATGCGTGACGCGAAGTAAACAGAAACCTAAGATAGAATTGAAAACTAGTTCGTGTGTGGTCTATTCAAACAAGTTGCCAGTAGCTAAAACGCCTTTGTCGAGATAAAAGTGTACTCTCTCCTCTCTTGAAAGAAATTTGAACAAACGTGTTAGTCGTAAAAAGTGTTACTGCTCAAAGTGGTCACGGATCGTTAGAGGCCACAGTTAGAATAAAACCGAAAATTCGAAAACGAACGAGACACGGTCCTTCCTTCCTTCCTTCCTTTATACGTTTCCATACGAATAACTTTTCTCAAAAACAAATTCGTCAAACACGTGGTTGCAGTGTATGATTTATTTGAATATACAAATTCTTTCAATTAGTTTGTCAATCAATGTTCCTCTCCTCAGATATACCATTAAATCGATTGTAAAAAAAAAAATAAAAAGAAAAAAGTCATTTTGATGATTTAACCGATCGAAGAATTGGACTAACTAAAATGAACCCCTACGGAGGAAAAGTTCGTAGATCGGAAACGGATTTAGGGTGAACGACACGGACTCGATGTTGTTACTGCGGACCTTTTCTTCTTTCCGAAATGTTCGATCGATTCTCACTCACCTACATGTTCCAGGAAACAGGAAGCTCTACGAATCGAGTTGACTTATGGCTTCGGACGAGTTTTACTCGTATTTCCCTTCCCCCTCTTACCCCCCTTCCATCCACCCGTTTTGAAAATCTCTCAGTATGCATATTGTTTTACGTCTCATTATTTGACTTCGAATAATCTTTAAAAATGAAATCTTATATTTCTGGGGATTAAAAAAAAGTTCGTTTAATTTCTCGGGAGGCGTTAGGATATATCTATATGTAAGTAGATGATACTTTTTTTTATGCTAAATTCTTTGAAGAAAGTTGAGAAATCGAGCTACCTATTCTTTCATTCTACTCCCCTTCCCCTCCCCCTATTCCCCCATCACCCACCTCACTCTATTCGTTTACGCTTTAATTTGAATTTTAATCGGGAAGGACGATCTGCAGGGAACGTAAAAAAAAAAATAGGAAAAAAAAAAGAAGAAGAAGAAGTAAGATTAAATCGTCAAACGTTCGGAACGTAAATCCGATAACAAGAGTCTTCTTGATCGAGTAGTACTTCTAAATATCTACCTATGTGACCTAACAACGTATCACCCTACGACGAGATTATGAATATGCAACTACGTTTTTTAATGTTCCGCGATAAAAATAGAACATGGAGAATAACGTAAGAGTACTTGGCCTCTCTTTTTTCCTCCAATCATCTTGGCGCGTGTCTTTCAAGATTCTTTTTTTTTTTTTAGGATGGATCCTTGGTGGAAAAACAAAAAAAAATAAAAAAAAAATAAAAGAAAGGATTCTCTTCTAACGTTTTCACTTATTTCCACGATGGTTCGAGAGTGTATGCAAAAGAAACGATTAATGAAACGAAGAAGGGATATTCAGAGCCAAAGCTTCTTCTTCTTCTTCTTGAATTAGGGTCATGAAAGTGAAATATAGAGCTAGCTGCCAAATGCCTAAAAGAAGAAAAAAAAAAAAAAAAAAAAAAAAAAAAGGCTTTATGGCCAACGACTGAGAATTATTACCCAAAGGTCTTTCCATCTTCTCTCGCAAATTTTATCGTATACGATTTATCTCTTAGACGGGGGTGTGGAAAACCATTCTAACGAAGATTATAATACCGGTGATTTCTTAAGTGTTAACCCGTTTTATTTTTTCTCTCCTCTTTATATTAAAAAAAAAAAAAAAAGGACACAGATGAGATGATTTTTGGCGTTATCCCGTTTAATCGTAACGTTAAGATTTTCTCTCTCGTAGTAATAATAATAATAATAATAATAATAATATTTGATATTAATTATATTTGACTTACCGTAATCCTCCTCGTAAATGATTCCCACCTTGGTCCAATTGAGAAATTCCATGACGTCCTGATAAGCGCCGTTGAGTAAACTTTGTGCGGGATGTAAATTGATACTGAACTCTTTCGCTTCCGCGTCCAGGTCCAGCCTGGCCTCGAGATGCGGAATGTCGAGTGCATCACAGATGCTGTGTATGTGTTGACCGAGTATAGGGTCCGAAGGACCGAACACTGCTTGAACACCGTGCTTGACTTGATGGCACGCTAGAAACCATTGATTATTTTATTCATTAGAATATTAGTACACACTCATAGATCTATTTTACATTCGTCGTTAGAAATGTAGATTTGAATAATCATATTGAGAAACATTGTTAAATTAAAAAAGATATTATATAAGAAATATAATATTTAAAAAAGTATTTATGATAGAAATAATATTTATATTATTACATATTTAATAATAATTATTAATTACACGATGTTGGTATATTTAATATAGTTGAATCCCCCACTGACATTCTATTAAACTTAACTTAATGTTTTGCTAAAACCGTCCTACGTACATCGTTCGATACGGTGCAATATCGTCTGCTCCACTTTGTCGAGGTTACTGCAGATGAGCATGAGGAACGTAGTAGTAGTAGTAGTAGTAGTAGTTGTAGTAGTAGTAGTAGTAATAGAAGTAGTATGTACTTATATATATGTATACATCCTTATGTAGTTAAGTACATATTACGTATCTATGTATATACATGCGTACACGTAGGGTACCCGATGACCGTCTGATATTCCGGCATACGGAGGTTATCTTACACGAGTTGTAACGGTTGTTACTGGCGACCCTACTCTCATAAGTTGCACCGTTCATCCTTGTAATGTAAGTAAAATATTCCATTTTGAAGATCTTCGATTTATTAACTTATCATTGTTAAATGGTTTTAATTTAACAACATGTAAATCTTTCAATTAAATTACGAACGATCGATTAATCATATTTTGCGATCTGTATTTTAACTCTGTCGAAGTTATAAATATCGTATTAATATGAAATGTTATTATACTTATCACAATTATCGTTTCATTTATTCGTTTTCTTTCTTCAATAAGATTAATATCTATTTTCTCTCAACCCGTTTCTATATTCAATTTTGCATATGTGTGCGCGGTTGTGTGCAAACTTATATATATATATATATATAATCGTATTTTTAATATCCGTTCAATCGCAGAAGTCTTTTTGATAAACTCTTCGTTTATAGATTAAGAAAGAAAAACGTAAAGAGAAATGGAACGGAGGAGAACTCACGTAAACGTAAAAGTACGACGACGGCGAGGACGCTTCCTGTCGGGAATAAATTTCTTCTTTCGTCGTTTAAGAATTTCAATGCTTATAACGTTATTACCTCGAGCGATATCAGAACTATCTATCGAAGCACATTGTTCAATTTTCGTTCTTCTAAAACGAATCGAATACGCGCGAATTAGTTTGAAAATATCATTTAAGTAAATCGTAATTGAAAAATGTTATAGATAATTTATTGATATCTTTAAGAATAATAATTTATACATTAGGGTTGTTGTAGGTATTAATAATAATAATTATATTTCGTTTCTTTTGAAATTATTTTTCGTGAAATCTAATTTCTCGGATGTGCAGTTAATACCGATAAATTAGAGATTTTCCCTCAGGACTCGTTCACAAAGTTAATACGAGAATTCGTTTCGCTTGGACTTTGAATTTACCTGTGATATTCTTGTAAATTGAAAGATGCTAGTAGTACCCTACTAGATACTAGTTTAGCTAGTATTATTTACTTCCACAATAGTTTCGAATATATCTATACAGAGGTAATATAGTAAAACGACGTTATTCAGGATTTAGGGGGATTCTCAGAACGTTCATTTTCCTTATACTATGCTTTACAGTTGTATGTATGTTAACCTTAGATTATAATCGTTAGCTTTCGCGCGGTGATTCCCTGCTCCGTTACGTTATATCACTTTGGGCTTGTCTCTTCGCAAGTAATGGAAGTGAGACGAATGCCAGTCCATTCGAGAATGTCGCTTAGACGAGGATTCTCCTTGAAATTCTACCTATCTTACCAATTGTCTTATCATTCGTCTTGACTATACTCGCAAATACATTTTCATCTAACTTCAGAAAGTTGACAATCGCGTATAAATTGTCTCTCATAGAAATAAACGTTCAAATATATATTGCTATAATTAATTAAAAAAAAAAAAAAAAAAAAAAAAAAACAGATTAAGATAATACAAGTTTTAACGTCAAATTAAATGATTAATTATTTGAAAAACAAAAAAATATATAATAACGAAAAAACCCTGTAACGTTTAATTATCCACTTGTCAGATTGACATTAATTGAAGAATAATAATTTAATTGAACGGTGTGTCATATTGATTTAAATGCGTCACAATTATAGAGAAAATCACTTTCAATATTATCGTGAGAAATTTGCACGCTTCAGATGTCTCCGGTGAACGACCTACCTGCTGTCTGTTTCAGCTTTTCCGTATTTACATAGTACGAGAGAACAAGCTTAAACGTTTACGAGAGAACAGGAAACGCAGAATTCTCAAACGCAAATTGGCTCCACTTTTTACGAGCAATGTAGCAGTAATTTCTGCGGAATAACTTTCCCCTAGCAGGAAACTTTCTCCACGTGGTAAAGCAGTCGTTCTTCCTCCTTCTGACAAAGCCCACAGCTTCTCATTAAAATTACAAAGTATTTTAGTCGGTTTAACCTTCTTCACCTTATGGAACGTGTTTCATCGTAATCTATAAGTAACTTTGGTATTTAATACTTAAACCGTAGTACTACGGCTTAATAAAGTCTTATCTGTCAATTGCAAATGCATAAAGTAATTGCGTTAGTGAATTTCTCAAAATGATTAGTTAATTGCATTGATTACTTTATATCAGTCATATTTTAATTGTAACGCGTATAAATCGAATTGTTTTTTCTCTTCGATCAAATATATATAATTCCACATTTACAAGTAATAGAAAAAAATTGTGTTGCTCGTGTTACTCGTTATCTTCGTTAAAAATATTTTTATTGTAATTAATTATTAAACAAGATAAACGTGTTATATTCATAAATCTCCACCTATTGTGTCTGAAATAAAATAATCAAGTAATTACTGGTTTACGTTTTGATTTTCTCTAATATAAAAATTTCGATAATGATGGTTGGAAAAATACCAGTTGAATAAAATATCTCGATAAATATTCAACAAATATCTTTATTAAGAACTGTGGTACAATCAGAGTAATTTTACGTTAAATCTTTTTCCAACTCTAGATGGGAATCAATTTTGTGCAATCCTCGTCGACGTTTTTCCAAGAGTCGCACAATTTCAGTCTGATTGAGCGAGTATTTTTCTGACTACCCTGGCATTTCTTCTTTTTTTTTACCCCCTCTTTCCACCACCCCGCTACCCTGCTTTCTTTTTGTTTAAAAGGAACATCTCATTTTGTAACGCATCCTATTCATTGAACGAGGAAAATATCAAGAGACGAAACATTTCATATACTCGAAAGGAAAAAAGCTATCTTTTTAAGGTGTTCCGAACTTACTAAAGAAAATTCAAAGCTCCTATCTTTTCCGTCTGTAGATGTACTTCTTCATTTTTACTTCGCGAAGTAAGAAATAATGTGTATCTATCTCTTCTCTTTTAGTAAAAGAAAAAAAGAAATAAAAAAATAAAAATATTGCAAAAAGAGCATTTGCCAGAATTCAATTTGCAAAAGTAAGATAGTTCCTGTCAAAAGTAAACTTCCAAAAATAATATATTATCAAATCAGACGTCTAATTGTTAACAACATTTGGTATTGACTGTTTCGAAAATATTTATTTTCACGTATACTTTCGATTCTCTAAATTGTTTTTTTTTTATTCCTGAAACCACGTATTCGTATCGATTAACATAAACGAGTGTAAAATATATTTTTCATTTTGAAAGTGCATTTTAGTTTGTACGAAATAAATTGCCGGAAGCGTTAGTATTCATTTTGGCTGCGACTGAATTTCCTTAATTTATTTAACAAATATTGAATATATTCTAGAATTCTGCTTTTGAAAAGTTAATTATTACTTGGAATAATTCACGTCTCTTGGGTGTGTATGTGGTATGCATGTTTTCTTGGGATATTGTGTTTAATTTTAATTCGACAAAAATCTAATTCAATTTTATTTAATCAAGAATTTGTGTATTTTTCCTCCTTCTGCGTACTACTACTATCACATTCTGACATTTTATACACTTCCCTTTACGCTGTGTATCTTCAAAGGCTTAGTCAACCACTCTATTTTCTCTATACTCCAACTTCTTGTACACATTTAGAACTCAAAATTGAATTTCCTATTTCCTTAGCTTACTTCCTAAAACCTTTAGAAATGTCCTTCAATTTACTTTATGAACTCTGTATCTTTTTAGGTTAGATTTATAAAAATTCCTCTTTTTTTCATCGAAATATTTCTCTTTTTGAAACAAAAAATTGTTTACAACAAATTGTTAATAACAAATTATTAAATGTTTTATCATGTACATGTATTCACAACAATATTATTTATGTAATAAAATAAAAAAATTGTTTGACAATTGTTTACAAGCAAATTGTTTATCACAAATTGTTAATAAACAATTTCTGATATAATTATAAAATGGATAAAAATTTATCCTTTAATATGGTCTTTGTTCGAAGTCTCTATGATTTTTAGTTTCGGAGATATTTTAATATATGTAAAAAGTATATATATTGATCCACTGACCTATATATTATAATTTCATTCACAAAAGTCATTGACACGGTGACCTACATAAATTCTTGGAATCAAGTAGTTTTTACTACTTACTACGCCTCGCGTACGCATACTATTACTACTACGCGTACAGTGATTATTGAGAATTATGAATGATAAATTAAAATATCCATATCTTCCGAACGGAAAGTCGTAGAGACTTCAAATCAAAACTATTTTAAAGGGTAAAATGTCCTCTTTTTATTAGTCCACTTAAATAATACCCTTATAATAGAATCAATTATTATTTTTTTTTCTCAATAAAAATACTTACGTCGAATCATTGCACGTTCGAAACAACGATATGTATTACAAACTAACGAAAAAGAAACATACTGAATAATTGAAAAAAAAAAAAGACATATTAATGTTATCTGAATATAATTTGAAATTTGAAAAATGATGATAGCACGTCGAACGAAGACAGCATAAGATCGATTATATTGATTTTACATGACTAGCCCTATTTCCGATATGTAAATACATTCGCTTATGTATTCATGTCCGTGGAAGTTTCAGACGGAAGGATCGAAGATCGAGGGCCCTAGTAACATGAAGAAGCAGCAGTACTACTTGTGTGAGGGATCGGGAACAGAACCCTCAAGTGCTGCTCTCGAACACGTGACATGCCGTTGTGGAGCACCTCGTTTCCACTAGCCGATATATGTTGCGTTATATCTATATATATATATATCTATACATATATATATGGTATAAAACGCCTTACGTCATAATCACCAACAACCGCGAACGATCGATATTTTATTTTATTTCTTTTTTTTTCTTTCTCTCTCTCTCTCTCTCTCTCTCTCTCACTCTTTCTTTTTGTCTCGAAGGACTTGGACTTATCGTTGGATAAAATTATAACAAAATAAATTGCTTACTAAGAATTATTCGAAAAAAAACCTGATTGAACGATCGTTAACGCAGAATCTTTTGATGTTGAACAGAAAGACTGTGAAAACTGGTGGTCGTCAAGGAAACTAGAGAGAAAGAGAGAGAGAGAGAAAGCAAAAGGTCGAACGATCGTTTTCTGGCTTCCAGCCACGAAACGAACCGCCGAATAATCGTTTGTTAGACTTTGCCTTGACTAACGAGACTCAAGCTCCCACTCCTTCCACCCCTCCGCCCTCCCCCTTATCTGACAATTTTTGTCGCTGACGTTGTGTGCTCCTCTTTCTTCCTAATGTCCCTTTGGCTCGCAGATTACGATACCCCAAAGTCCAAGCAACGATATAAAACCCGTCAAATAATATCAATGCTAATTTAATCACTTTCTAAAGATGTTAGGGTGAACCAACAGTTCGTGAGTTTATTGTGTTGAAATTTTACTATGAAACTACTGGATTGTTTTTTTTTTTGTAAAATTTACTTTTACAAATATTACATTTCTTTAATATTTTAATGCGGTTTTAATTTAAATGCGGTTTTTTTCACATAAGAAGTATGATTATTTTATCGGGTAAATTATATTGATAGGCGAAATGAATATATTTTGAAGTTAATGTTAGAACGTTGCAGGATAGTGTAAATATTGATTCAAACGCGAACCAATCACTCAGTTTTGAGTAGAATATCGAATTAGAACAATTAACTATTATGTTATTCAAAGGGGAACACGATCGAGCTGTTGCAGCATTTTTTTTCGGATTATTATTTGTAATATAATTCACATGTTTGCTTGTAAATCATATTCGAATGTATATATCATATTTCTATATCGTTAAAGTTTCTTTTTACAAATAGATGCGTACAAGTTACCGGTTCTATTGGATGGATCTCTGATATGTCTGACGTGAGTGGCAAAAGTATTTCCGTATAAAGGACGAGAAATGAAAAGGAAGAAGAGGGAATGGGATGATAAAATGGTAAAAGGTTATATAGGAGGAGAAAAGGGCGAGCAAAATGGTATGTATGTGTATAGTCACTTTGATGGAACTCAACGGCAAGAGACTTTGAACGAAAATGATTCCGAACGTTCGACGATTCGTCCGACAAAAAGAAGAAAAAAATAAATAAAAAAGTATTAAATTCACTTATCTGATTTTCTCTCTCGCAGGATTGCATGTAATCGTAAATCGGCATACAAAATGGAAACAAACCTACCTACCTACCTATCTACCTCCTCGACGAAGGATTACCGGTTGATATTGAATTCTCGACAAAAATTCTCACGCGCGACGAGCTGTTTTGGAGAATGGAAAAAAACAAAGAAAAAAAAAAAAGAAAAAATATGTATTATATTCCCGTTGCCCATTCTATTTTCCCTACCGGTCGTGCACGTCGATGAAATTGAAATGAGAATTCGTACAAATTATAACATAAATAAATAAACGATAACGAATATAAATCTATCTACACGAATATATGTATGTATTCGCGAATCATCGAAAACTTTTGTTGTTCGCGTTAATCGAATATATTGTAATAAAAACTTTCGAGAATATAAGTACCTATACACTTTTTTAAAATAGGTGTACAAATATTGGGTTAGGGAAAATAATATTAATCGGTACTGGTGATACTTGCGTGCATTTGAAACGTTAAATATTATTGTACGAAGCACAAGTCAACTTTTCTTTTTAATGAGAATAAAAAAGAAATTATATTTTTAAAAAAAAAAAAAGGGAACAAACGATCCAAGTTGGTAAAACAATTGGTAATATTTATGAACATGATGTCAGTATCATAGAAATAAATTGAGCAAGATCTGATCACGTCGATCACAAAACAATTTAATACATTTTGAAGAAGACTGTATAAAAAATATGAAAACGAGCAAAAAATTAATACAACTGGTTTAGTATTCTCATTAAAATATGAATAAACATAATAAAATGAAAAAAATAAACATTCTATTCAAGACACACAAACAATTATAATACGAAAGTATCTCGTATATCTCATTTGCGTTTGATGCATTTATAAAAGAATTATCGATCTTTAAGCTAGACGCGGAACGTACAAATAATATTTCCCCTTTTCCCCCGTGTAACCAGCGAATTTTCTTTGCCTCGAGAGAAAATTAAATCCTATTACGAGACGCTTTTCTTACTCTAAGAAAAATTTCTCTTTCGCTTTAATAAAATTCTTCGTGTATTCCTAAGAACGAATGAATAGTTTCAATTAATTATTACAACGGTATATCGTCGTTTTTAATGCGAAAAACATAAAAGAACAAAAGATCGATCAAATAATCGTAACGATAATAATATTATTACGTTGATTCGATTAATTTTTAACTCACCCTTCTTCGACGCGTGAAAGGAATCATCTTTGGGCACGTACTGAATGTCATATTCCAACGTAGTTTTCGGCAAAATAATTTTGTCCTTGTTGATCTTGTATACGGCGTATTTGAATGCCAATTCCGTACTGCTATCCTTTTGGTCATGAGTGAAAATAGCTCCTGTAAATAGAAAAGAAAAGGAAAAGAATTAGATAAATGTAAAAAACCAATAAGTAATACATAAACATCCTTAATTTGAACATCAATGATTTTCCCAACGATTCGAAGAAAAACATTGTCCATTCATTTAAATTTCCAATTCCAATTTGGTTATCGATCGTACACGGTGAGGAGCATTTAGCGCATGACCGTGACTGTCTATGCAAGATCGGCATACCCCATTGGCCATTGTCCTAAATAATCGTTGTAACGTTAAGCCCCCACAGTCATTTTTCGTATCAACTTACAAATCCCAGTCACGTTTAACGCATCGTTTTATGGAAAAATAAATTTGACCAAGCTCTTTTTTTGCATAAGTATAAAACTCTTTTTTTTTTCTCTCTCTCCTCCTGTTCTCTTTTTTTTATTTTATTGATTGTTGAAAAAATTCGCCCGCGTTCGTACAAAAATCGATGTATTTTTCTGTTTTATATGAAATTCTCTATCCCTTTGATGGGGAAACGTTTCTATTAGCGTTTCAAAGCGTACAACTTAACGTCGATCGATTCGTAAATTTACTTAAAACGCAATCATGCTATTTAAGACGTAAGTGGGGCTCCTCTGAAACAGAATCACGTTTAAACGGCTTCGAAGTTACTTATTCTCACTATGGAGACTGGTCTTGCGAATCCGTGTACATACATCCCTCTCGCCGACAACACCGATTTGCATTTTAGCAATCCGTTCCGTGTGAAACACCAGGTTGAAAGGGTTCTCGAGTGGTAAAACAAATTCGTTTACGGACTGTAGCACAAGATCGATGTTCTGAAATTTATACGACGATGTCAAGGACTCGATTGTATCGTACCTTTCTTTTTCCCCCTTTTTCTCTCTAACATTTTATATAATATTAAAAATATAAGCTAGTTATATTTGTGTAGGTATCCACCGAAATGGGTTGACATACTTTCGAAGAAACTAATGTATCTTAAAATAAAGATTTGCTTGTGTCGTCTGAAACGTTTATAAATGAAAGGAAAATATGGAAGAAAGATATGGAAATAAAGGAAAAATGTTTTATAAAAGAAACCCAAAGTGAAAGGGGTCATCCAATCTAGGATTGTACTCTTTTTTAAGTTTCACACGAATCTACCGTCGATTACGAAGGATCAAAGATAGTAGTTTGCTTTTATAGAAAGAAAGAAAGAAAGAAGGAAAAAAAAAGAGAGAGAGTCTTTCGAAATGCATGTGCATATAGCTCGCGGTAGTTTACAAGAGTAGGAACGATTAACTAGTTCGCGACGATGGCTTTGATAGTTTTCTCTACTTGTAAAAGACAGGAACAGCCAAAAGAAAGATTCCGCCAAACGTTTGACCCAGAGCCTTCGGCGTTGCGGTTTCGACGAACCACGATAGAGTAAACTTTGAGGATTAGCATGAAGAAGAGGGCTGATGAATGGAAGTGAAGCTCTCTCTCTCTCTCTCTTGATGAAAAGCTATGCGAAAAGGCTTGGATGATAGAACAAGGCTATATGTTGTCGTCATCTCAAACCGATTACTTCTTGCCATTCCTCCACCTCCACTTCCACTTCCTCCTCCTCCTCCTCCTTCTCCTCCTCCACCTTTCATTCTACCACCTCAGGCATAATATGTTTTTCAAGGTATTTGTAAAATATTCTCGCCCTCTCTCTCTCTCTCTCTCTCTCTCTTTCTTTCATTTTTTTTCTTTAACAAAAATATGACAAAACACGCTTTCAAAGTGGTAACGATATAAGAACGGACGAACAAAATGTCATTATTTTTTTGTGAATTCCGAAATACGGCCTAAAGAAATTTTCTTTTTAATATCAAATAAAATATTATTATTCAAATTGTCTGCAGGATGAAAAATAAAATCAAGAATATTTTAAATAATTACATTGCAGGCCGCATGTTGAGGAGTTTACTATATTTTATCATTATAATAATAATATCAAATATTGACAAGTTGAATTTTGTTTTTTAAAGATTTCAATAATATTCTCGTATATATTTTTTACACTCGGTTGAGCGAATTTAAAATTAGTTTTTGAAATGTTCGGAATGAACATTTGACAACTTCAATGTTTATGTTAGAAGTATGAGAATATGTTAAATTAGAAACACTCGAAAAACTAATTGCCAGTATGACGAGAATTTTCAAGTTGTAATTAAAAATATAGGGTAATTTTCATGGGGGTTTTTTTTGTTCGTGAAAAGGGTAATTTGAAGAAAAATACTCATTCCTTGATACTACTATACTGTTACTCGCGAATTTTTGTTGGCAAATAAATTTACCTCGAGATTACTCTTTAAGGGTATTTATTTATTTACCTTTTTTTTCTTTTTACAAATATTCCGTTTCTCAAATTATACGCGGTGATTTTAAACTTTTTTTACTTCAATACAAATGCAGTTATATTTGCAAATCTTCAAAAAAGAATAAGGGGGTAAAAAATATTTTATTATACGAGACATTTCTATTGAATATATATTTAATTCCCTAATACGACTTAATAATTATTTCTACCAACGTTTGATAAATGAATTCTCCGTTAGAGATATTTCACGAATACTTAATGTGTGTCCACGTACGTATCATATTATAACAACGTTAAGATCTCGAACAAAATAGATATTATAAACTAATATAATAATACATAGTCTGTGTGGTAACCAATAAGACAATAGAAAATAGAAACAATCAGTGAAAAGGAAACTGGGTGGGTGGGTAGTTGGGAGGTTAAATTATTACTAACATCGAGTTTGGAAAACTCGTGTCCTGTTTAATAAAAGAGACCGGTGTGGTCGTTGTGTGTTAGTCGTTTTCTCTGGCCATGCACATGCACATGCACGTCCGCAACGGGGGATTTTGCATTTAGTTTAACAAGCCAAAAATACATACAGTTATTTCCGCGACGCGACGTCCCTGCGATATGACGTGAAACTGCTGTTGCTGCTGCATCTATTCTTTCTATCTCATTCTTTTTTCTTTTTTCTATTTTTTTTTTTTTACCACCCACATATACCGGATTCTTCGTTATACACGTGATGCAACGTATTGCATTTTCAATTATTCCCCCGAAGGCGGCCTTTTGTGGAGACTATATTATATACGTATTATATCGGTCAAATAGAAATTTTCTTGTTTTCATAAATTTACCCAAAGGTAATAAAGAAAGTGAATTACGATCGTGTTTAAATGATTAATAATATTTGTCGAGATAAACATATTTGCTTTCCTTTTTTTTATCTCTTCTTTTATTTTTTTTTTTTTTTTACAGAATTCTATATTCAAATAAATGTATCTCTCTTGATTGACTGTTACTATTACTCTGTGTGTGTGTTGGATGTATGAGAAATATATGTATAAATGTTAAAAATAAATTATTTCATCATTGTATAAATTCGCGTTCGTTCGATAAAAAAACAGGACTGTGAAAATATAAAAGAATATTTTTTTTTTTATTTTCGCACAACGATTATATAAAATTTACATAACAGTTACCTGGTATTACTGGTGTTACATAAACGTTCGCGTAGATTCATTAATTGTACAAATATTTTTGATAAAGAACAAAATATTATTTTCCTTTCGTTGGATAATAGATAATATATTTTGGAAAGTAATGTGTTAAAACGATAAAAGAATTTTCGAAGAAATGTAACGATTAATTGACGATACGTCGTACACATTCTTTCGAAACGTTAGACAAATTAACTTCAATATCGAATTCTTTCAATGTTCACAACCATAAATCCATCTTTTCTAGTTTTCTTTTTTCGTTCTTTCTCTCTCTCTCTATCTGTCTCTCTTTTTTAATATACTTTTACCATTCGTTTCAACTAATCCCCATTAATTCGTACATTTATCGTACGTATGTACTCTTACATATGCGTAGGAAATCAGATCTTTTCTAGTCTCGAATGCTCAAATAGACTTCATTTCATTTATTCCCTATTTTTTTTTTTTATTTTATTTTTTTTATCTCCCGTAACTAACGCGTTAAGCGTTCCATTTCTTTTCCTTTCTTCACCATCAACACAGACGACTTCTTTCGTTACAATGCTTTCGAATACCTTCTGTCCAACGTGCAATGCTTTCACTTAATCATTAGCAACGTTTAACAACTTGAAAGAACGGAGAGTACAAACGACTCTTAAAAAGAAAAAAAAGGAAAAAAAAAGAGAAGAAGAAGAAGAAAACGAACACTGCAGCTTGTCTAACGATCCTTACTATATCTACTGTACCCTTGAAACTAATACGTATACTTCTATATGTATGTACGTACGTGTATATGTATGGTTTCTAAAGAAAAGTACATTCCCTTCACCGGAAGCTTTTATCTTATTGCGTTCTTTCGCCTTTTTCACTTTTACTGCCATCGGTTCGTGTTTCGAACGTCAATGAACGGTTTAACATCGATATTTTGACATTTTCGCATTTAAATATAGTCTTATTATATTTTAAAATCATTTCAATTGTCTCCAATACGATTAAACCCTTTTATAATTCATAACGATGCATTTTTGAAAAAAAAATTTGTTTGAAATAATTTATACTCCTCGTTGCAAGAATACCATAAACAGTTGCTTTTTTTTGTGTGTGTGTGTGGAACCTTTGAATGACGTTTAAATTATTTATTTTATAACCACATTTGTATAATCCCATAATTATAGGTTGTACGTTCATACCGAAATGAACCACATATATGTGGATGATTTTATTGGAGAACAGAGAATGTCCCAAGACATTAGGGCAACGAGTTTTAGAATCTAAAAAAAAAAAGAAAGTAGATCCGAAGTAATCGAAAAGTCGCAGATTGGCTCGAATTGAGGATACCCTCATTTTCACGTTTATCCCAGAACCATTTTCAAGACGATCGAGGACAATCCCGGTGGATCGTAGAATATCGAACGTGGATCTATACACACATATGCTGTTACTATCTCTATACAGGTTAATTCTACTAATTTCTCACGGGTACAAATCTATAGTGTAT